CGGCGGAGGGAGCGGGGGCCGCGAGGGGAAGCCCCGCCGCGGGGCAGCCCTCCCGCTCCCTCCCCGCCCAGCACCGGGCCCTGAGGCGGTGCGGAGCGTTGAGGGGGGCCCGGGCCTACCACAGCCCCTGCCGGCCGAGCGCCGCGGGGCTGCCGGGCAGCGCCCCCCCGCCCGCACGCGGTTCTCCACCTTGAACAGCTTGTCCACCTCGTGCTGCTGCAGGGGCCACGGGGCCGTGAGCGGGCCCCGCGCCCGCCCCGCGCCGCCCGCGGCCCCGCCGCCTCACCCAGCTTCACGGCGGCGTCCGCCAGGCACCGGTCCCACTTCCTGCCCAGCTCGCTCTCCGACGCCATCTTCGCCGCCCCTCCCACCTCGGCCTCTGCCCCGCCCGTCCGCGCGCCGTGTGCTCTCGCGAGACTCGGCGGCGCGCGGCCCACCGCGCCTGCTCTCGCGAGAGTTCGTTTCCCGCCCTCAGAGCGGTGGGCGTGGCCGTTGCTGAGGTGACCGTGGGGAGGGCGCCATGGCCTCTAGCCCGGCCAGGCTAAGGGCCTAAGGAGGAGACCAGGCCCCTCTTACCTTCCAAGACGTATAGATCCATACAAAACTCCTAGAGTGCCTGGGCCCTTTATAGGGATGCTAGGCCTGGGAAAAGCCCGCCCCATGGCACAGGTGTGTTGTGTCAGCCATGATGGCCTCTATATAAGACCTGTCTAGGCCTAGGACTATTTTGTCTTGTTCTAGAGCCCTTCTTTTTAAACAAGTAGGAAGAGAAAGGAGTTTTGTTTCTTACTTTTTTTTTTTTTTTCCTCCTTTTTCCTCTCCCCGCTGTAGTCCTTGAAGTGTGCTCTGGTGTTGTGGAAACAGAGATACGAGTAGCTGTGATGGTGTTTGCGTCCTAAGCAATGTATAGATTTTCTAGTAGACTTATGAAGATAGCAGTGTTTCAGGCAGCATTTCTCTTCATACTTGGTACGATAATTTTTAGTACTTTTGCTGTTTTGACTATTTTTTATGAAATTAAAAAGTTCTTTTTTTTTATAAATCTAGTACTTCCAGGTAATGGAAAGAAGTGAAAATGAAATTCTCTGAAGCTTTCAGAGTTTTTTTTGAATTTATTCTTGCTTATAGTCTCTCATCTCTTCAAGGGGTTAGCCAGCTTTGATCTATAGCAATGATGTGTGACTTCTTTCCAATATAGCCTAATTCCTTTATACACTACTAAATGATCACCATTAGCTGTGGTTCTTATTTAACTTAGAAAAGCTGGGGGTTTTTTTCCTCTTTTGGAAGATGGCCAAGCAGTTGGAGATCAAAAATTTTGCGTGAAGGTGGCTTTTTTCCCCTCTGCAAAAGGAACCCCGTCTCTATTGCACTACAACTACCTCAAACTAATTTGTGTTACTGTACTGTCAGTATGAAAGCTAGAAGAATGCATCATGTTAATTAAAGGTACTAATGGGTGGTACTTTTTTTATTCTTGGACCATCTAACTGGTATGTTCTAGTGTGCCAGCTCCTCCCTCTATTTCCAAGCACTCTTCAGTTATGGAAAGTATCAGGAAAGAAAAGGTACTTGAGGCTTCCAGATACTTACCCTCCCCCAAGTAAATTCCAAAAATCAGTATTTTTTTAAATGATGCAGAAATGCATTCTTCCCCTTGGTAAAAATAACTACTCTGTGCAAGGCTATGTGTAGTCTCACTTCACACTTACTCATTTTCAGGCTCACTGGAAAGTTCGGCACCTTCAGGGATGGAGGAAGAGGTGGGGAGCAGCTGGACGCCAAGTAAGCTGCTTGCTAAAGGGTCATGTTGCTTTATAATGGCTCTTGAAGCACTTGACTTCAGGAACCTGGGGCACTAAACCCCTGTTAAAGAAATGAAATAGCTTAGTGGAATTGTTTTGAACATCAAGTTTCCTTCTGGGATTTCTGTCTGCTTCTGTTAAATTCTGGAGGCCCTGAGTGGTCAGAACAGGAGTGCTGGAGAATGTTACCCATTAATGAATTCAAGTCCATTCTCTGCACCCCCTTTTCTTTTTTCCTTCTCTGGACAAAAATAAGGTAGAAAGGAATATGTCCAGAGACAGGCTTTTCCCCTCTGTTCTTATAGTTGTTGGCAATGAGATCCTTTCAATGTTATATTTAATATTTATTGTTGTATGACTCAAAGGTGACATATAAAACATGCTATTTTGGAAAAACTTTTTTCTGCGTTTTGTGGCCCAGCATGTGCTGTCCAGTGGTTTTTTAGCTCCCTGCTTCCCTCATATTTTCTCATTTCTGTCTTTTTGTTGGTGTGATAATTATGTTAATTATATGATAATTAAATGATAATAATGTTTTAACTTAATAAGTCTACTCACAGACTAAAGATTAGGTGTTTGCTTAATTGCACTGTTGATTAGTAATTCAACAGATGCTAGTCAAACAACCAAACAGGCAGAATTGGAAAGCTAAGATGAAGTGCTGCTGCTGTTCTGCAAAACTGCAGCTTTTCAGGTGCTTTGTGGAATGAGAAGTGCAGGGCAGTCCTTGAATAGTTTCTGTTCATTAGCTTCAAGCAGATTTTCTTTGCTTGAAGAATCCTGATTTCTCCCCCCTCCCTCCCAGCATGAATGTATAGTCCTTTAATACTTGGTGTATATGGCACGTTTTTCAGAGAACCTCCTGTATGTTCTCCACTGCATCCTAATCTCGTCCTGTTTTTCAGAGAATAGAGATGTAATTTCTCTCATATTTTTTCAAGAACGTGTATCCCCTCCTACACACACTTTCCCCCATCTTCTGCCAAGAGCAACATATAATCTGTATAGGAGGCAACAGTGTAGGAGTTATCTGCTTGAAGTGGTTGAGAAAGGCTGAGTAGTGCCCTCCCCCTGTTTGCTACATCATACTCCCAAACCAGCTCTTTCATGTTACAGAGAGAATGGGACCTGGGCAGGAAACTTTTATCCTGTCACCATGCCAGATGACTTTTCTTCCCCTTCTTTCCACACATAATCAACATTAGTGGGCAGTTATGCATGTTTATTTTTCTTTACAAACTTTATGCTACTCAGACAACAACAACAAAAGAGTCTAAATCCAAAGTCAAGAGAAAGAAAGTTCTCCTCAGCAGGACTTTGCCCTAAAATGGGAAAAGTGCCAGAGACTCCATTAAGTCTAATTTGCTCTTCTTATTGATTTCATGTGGAAAGCAGTCAGATACACTGGGGATGAACAATAGTCTGAAGGCTTAGAGTTGCATTAAGAAAGTAAGCTCATGATACAGGCTAAAATATCATTCAGTCTTCACAATAGTGATTACATTCATGTTAATAAGGAAGCCTATTTTGTGTCTGTGCTAATGTGTTTTCATGACAGTTTTGCCAAGCTGATGTAATATGATCTTCAATAGTGTGGAACAGCGGGTTACAGTTGTCAGGTACAGCTGATGGCAGTGGATTGTTGAAAAAATGGAACAAGATGTGTCATAGCTCCTGTGCTAAATCTTTTAAACTGTTTTTTTTTTTTTTTTTTCCCCATGAAGCTTGCCCTTAAAATCTCCACAGAGGAAAGTGCCTACATGGAAAGACTAATCTAATCTTTTGTTAAAGAGTTTTGGCCATCTCTAATACAGACTAAGTGCTGCTATGATATTTTTCTTCATTTTATCTACTCTTTTGTGATCCACTTTTTAGTTTCTTATTAGAAAAGGGAAAAGATCTAATGTCCTGTATTGATATTTCTAATGAACAAGTCTGCAAGGGAGTGCTGCTTGTCAGCTCGTTAAGTACATTTTTCCATTAGTCTGTCACTAATTCTATACAGATTCTAACTAGTAAACCATGACTATTGTTTTAAGAAGGAATCTAGCCCTTGTAATTCACTAGGCTGGTATATTAGTAAGCTTCTAATGAAATGCAATGTGCAAGGAAAAAGTAAGGAAATGGAAAATTTGTTTTTTTTTTCTGGAGCAATCAGCTTGATTCTTTTTTTAATGACAACCTGCAAACATCATTACTGCTGCTAATGACCAAGCTTGACAAATGTTCTCAATGTGTCCTTTGCTCAGGCTAAAAACATTTGTTAAAGCTCTCATCTATAAAGCTTTCTGTGCTTAAAGAATAAAGGCAAGTAATCTCAAGTATGGGAGTGCATGGCATCCTAGGATATGGAGCTGAGAAGAAAATATTGGAAATCCTTCATTTCATTCTTCTGGAAAAGCTTCATAGTTTTCTTCTAAAAATAGTGTTGCCATTTTTATTGAGGGTGGATTTCAGTTTTTTTGGTCAGACTTGCCCATTTGCTGCTACATGTCTTGCAAAGCATGTTGTAGGATAACCTTTGGAATGTGGGAAAACTGAGTGACTGCAGACAACACTGAGGCACGTTTGCAGACAATGCTCTCAATGTGGACTGGCGCTGCTGGGCAGAAATAAAGCAATAGTGCAGGAGAATGTTATTTAATGCATAAAAAAGAGTTGCCTTATGTCCAAGGTACTGGCCAGACTGTACCTGTGACTTTCTAACATCCTGCCCATCTCTGTGCCCCTAAGCTTTAGCTGAGTGATTAATCTCAGTTTGTGGATCTGTAAAAGATGGAAACATAGGGTCATGTTTCATACCTTATCACATCTGTTAAGGCAAAATACCTTACTGAAAAGGTCAACCTTTGATAAGCCTGGTGCCTCTAGCTGTACATGCAGGTGATGTGTAACTTTGAACCTTCCTGCCCTTACTGTGAAAAAGCTGCGTGGGTGGAAGAGTCTTTGGGCTGGTAGATAAACATGGTAGGCTGCTAGGTTTACTGTCCTTGCCATGAATCACATATGCTCTTAAGGCAGCACATCTGTTTGGGTGTTGATGAAGTGCAAAGTAGTGTTCTAGAGACTTGTTTTCCCCATTCTTTGCATGGGAGGGGAAATGTCTCAATACTAAAAGGGAAATGTTACTTTTATTAAAAATGCTATTTTGATTTACCCATCAGTTAATGTAGTGATTGGGAAAACTCATAACTTTTGCAAGTGTTATAAGAGTACCCTTAGAAAAGTTGCCTTGGAGTAGGAGAGAAGCTTTTTTTTATTGTTCGTGTGCTATTTTGCCTGTGTGTATAAAGATCTCCATAGTGAGAAATATCTGTGGTTTGAATAGGGAATTCCAAACCATTGGGTAGTGGTGGAGGTACCTTTTTTCCTATATTACTTTCCAAGAAAAGCTTGGTTTTCAGCTTCAAATCAGATGATGCTGCTGGCTTACTGACTCTGAGTAATAAAACCCAGGGAACGAAACTTTACCATTGCTGGAAATGGAGACTCTTGAAGCAGTGAACTCAATTTATGAGAAACTCTATTAAAAGTTTATGCATTTTTTGAGTGCCACAAGCTTGACATGGCAGAAAATGGGTGATACAACCCAAAAAATCCTGAGATGACCTTTAACTAGAGAAATTAATATTTAGTAAAGCCCGACACATTTTCTTCGGGATCTGTTTGCTGAGTACATAGTTTCTCATGAGTATCCTTGGTCCTGGCTGAACAGTGGAATAAACAAAACAGCATTTCACCATGCATGTGAAGCTAAAATAAAGCATTTTGTAGGCTGACATGATATGCTTTTTATGAAGCTCTGGCTTAATGTGAAAAGTACCCTGTAATGCTAATAAAAAGTATTTATCCTTTGGCTTCCTTGAATATAATCAAACATGCAGGGAAAGCATATGTATTTCATAGTTGGTGATTGCGAGATCAAAAGCGCTGTTATTAATTGCACATGAATCTGGTGTTGTAGGGCTATTAAGCCGTCAGCTGCCAGCATTGTTTGCTTCCTTTGTTTATAGACCCTTGTTTCACAGATGCGTAATGCCTGACACTAAGCCCTTTGGCCACCCTCCTTCTTCCTCATGTCCGTGATCCTTGTGTCCTGCCTGATATGTGGAGAAATGCCTTTGAGATGACTACATTCACAGGAGCAGAGTGCTCAGGAACTGCACTGGAAGTGGTGCAAGTTCTCTACCTCTGCCTGGCTCTCTGGAGCCTGGGAATGTCAGCACTGAAATGAGCTTCCCGCGGAGCGCCCTGGGGCATGGATCACAGTGTGGGTTTTGTTTGCCTGTCTTCGCAATTGCACCAGTATGGACTAATCTATATCCTGCTGCATTGTAGTGAATCCTCTTAACTTGGAAAATGTAGAGAACAAGCAGCTTAACTTAAAAATAGTCTCATCCTGAGAATTACATATGCTGTATGAAATAGAGCAGCATGGAGGAACACTTGAGTCTGTGGGCTTTGAACCTGCTGCCCAGCTGTAGACTTGTGAGGCACCTTGGCTTTGCTGCTGGCTCCAGCAGTTGTAGCGTCAGGAGCTTTTGCCTTGAGAGTTTTGCCGTTTCTATAGCACTGCAAATGGAAGGAAGTTGTTACTGGACTTGAGGAAAGGCCCTTTGTGCTTGTTCCAAACACAGGGCTCTGCAGAGGCTGGGCCCTTCAGCTACTCAACAGGCTCAAAGCTCCTGCTGCAAATGTTTTCTTGTTTGTCTTTTTTTTTTTTAATCTTCTCTTGATTCCTATCCTGTTAGTTGCCTCCTCAGATGCCTTTGCAAAGTATCTTTTGGGCTTATATTGAAAAGCTTTTTTTTTATGGCAAAACTTCACCTCTTTTCTTCCTTTTTTTGCCATTTTCAGGTTTCTCTTATGTTGTCACAGCACTAATGGCTTTCCTTGAGCAGAGATTTTTTTTTTTTCTTCAGTACATGGTTCTTGCACCTGCTTTGTGCCTTCAGTTTCAGTTCTGTTGGAGCAAACACAAACAAAACCCAGCAAAGCAGTCCTAAACCTCACATAATCCCAACAGAATTTACTGATGTGAGAAAAAAGCCTGCCCTGAGCAAAAGACAGGGTAGTGCTGCTGTCCTTAGGCCTATCGAATGCTTTTCACCTGTGCTTCCTAAAATCAATGTACCATTTACATTGCTGCTACTGCTAAAGTATTTGTTTTCTTAAGTAGGTTAAAGAATTCAGCATCATATATGTGTCATCTTGGCCCTAAACTAACACTGCCTCTAGAGAGGAACATAATTAACAATGCAGCTAATACTGATTTATTGTGCATCTTTTCTCAGACCTGGCTTTATTTAGCTGCCCCCTTAAACATAGGAGGAGGAAAGGAGGCTACAGCTGTAGCTATAGCTTTAGAACCTCTTGCTTGCTCAGGCCCTGCAAGTTGCAGCTGCCAGGGAAGAGACTGCTCCTCCATTCTAGTAAACAAACAAAAAATCCCTTCCGCATGTCCTGCTATAAACCAGCAAAGCAGGCAGCTGGGCCTCATTTGAAAAGATGTTCCAGCAGTTTCAAAAGGAATCTGCGGATCTGCTTAATGCAAATATTTGGGGGGAAAACAAAAAGCAGCTGTTTATTCTGCTCTATACCTATTAGCAGGAAAATAAAATCCAGAGTGTTTGTATTTCTTCCACTAAGAAAAACATCCCCTTGGCCTCAATATTCATTTGGCTCTTAAATGGTTTAAGCTACACCAGCCTGCCTAATTCTTGCTCAGTTTCTTTAGTAAGATGCTAGAAACAGTTGTCCCTAAATGTAAGAGCTGCTGAACAGAAAGCACAGCAATCACTGCAACCCTTACATGAGTGTTGTGACAACCCATAAAGCTTAGGTTAATCAAGTTGATAGACTTTATCCTCCCAGTCCCTGCCCCAAGGAAAAATGCCTGTCAGATGTGTGGACCCCCGTGTAACAAATGAGTAATTTGTTAACATGCAGCGAATGGGCTCCTTAATTACTGCTTGTAGGTGCCTGCCATGGAATGTAAGGACTGATGGAGGGGGGTTTGCATGAGAGAAGCCACTTGAGGTGACCACACATTTTACTGTGGCCTCCAAGAGGCCAGACTGGCTGCTGTTGGTGAAGAATCCAATCCCGAGTATCTGGAGAAGGAAATGCTGTTTGAACTTGTGTGCCCTACCTGCTAGACAGGGTAAGATTACTTCCAATTTCATGGTGTGTTTGATAGTGGTTTGCTTCGTAATTCATCTGAAGTGATGCTGCTCCTGGGTTTCCCAGGAGATATTTCACTACCAAGTATTACCCCCCCAAGAAAAAGAGGAGGTTCCTTAAACACATAATTACTATTAAGATCCCAACACAGAAAGGGCATGTGCTGCCTGAGCTTCCCATCCTTTCTGGGAAGATTGTGTTGGAGCAGGAGGCAGCGCATGACTCCTTTCCTTGGCATTCCCAGTCTCCATGGCAAAAGCAAATGGAGCAGAAGGGCTTTTGGCTCGCAAGGGCTAAGGTGGTGCTGCAGGAGGCCCCGGCCTGCTCCGCATCCAGGAGCTCCGGCTTTGGCAAAACTCAGGCCCAATAACTGCTCTGAAAAGGCCAGAGGAAAATGTTACTGTATAATAAAGCAGTTGGTTTCCCGGGGTAGCTGTTTGTCACATGTGAAGTTGTTAACTCCACGTCCCAAATAACTGGAGGTGCAAGCACAGAATTGGTCACTTTTACCCGAGATGGGTGAAAAACAAAATAATAGAGCAAGAAGAATACCTTCCTTCTGGGCCACTGAGGGGGGAGAGCAAAAACCTTTATTTACATATACACCCAGCTTTGCCGGGTTTGGAGATTCCTATCACAGCTGCTTAAGCCCTGAAGTCATCAACATATGGAAGGCTCTGCCTAACTGGAAGCAGGTACTTACATGCTCTGCTGAATCAAAGGCTCAGCTGCCAGAGGAGACCAGCACTTGCCTCTGCAATTAATTAACCTTGACCTTAAGTAGCCTGAGGCTGATTATTTTTTTCCCCACAAGTTGCCGTGGAAAGCGAGTGGTGAAGGGCAGGTGACTCCCTTGCCGGCACTGCAGCGATGCCGCTTACTGGGGTTAAAAAGGGGAAACGGAGGAGAAAAAAAAATGGGGAAAAGTTTTTATTAAAAAAAAAAAAAAAAGAGGGAGGAAAGGAGGAGGGTGGGGGGAAAAGGAAGAGGGAAGCGGTGGGCGGGGCTGCGCGGGAGCCCCTCCCCTGCGCCCGCCCTCTTCCCTCCCGCCCCCAGGGCGGCAGTTGGTAGCGCCCGGCGCCGCCTCCTTCCCCCCTCCCCCCCCCGGCATCATGGTCCCTCCCTCCCGCGCGCCGCGCTCCATACTTGGCGATGGCCGGCGAGGCGCGCGCTGATTGGCGGCGCGGGCGGGCGGGGCGGGGCGCCGCTGACCCGGATGTTCACTCCTAGGCAACGGCGGAAGTGCAAGGGCCGCGGCCTGCCTCGCAGCCAGAGCGGACGGGACCGGGAGGCGCCGCCGCTGTCGCCGCCACCAGAGCCCCGCGCAGCCCCGCGCAGCCGCCATGGTAAGAGCGGCGCGGCCGCGGGCGGCGCCCCGCCGGCAGCGGCCCTTGGTGCCCTCGGTTCCCGCAGGCCCGGCAGGCAGCGGCCGCCCTGAGCGCTAGGGGTGGCCGCTTGTCCCGGTGCTTCGGGAGGGTGCCTGGAGGGTCTCGTCCCGCCGGGTAGAAGCAGAGGCCTCACGGCGGGCCGGGGGCCGCTCGGCTGCCGCTTTCCTGCGAGGCGCCGGGAGCCTCTTCGGAGGCCGAGGGGGGCCTGGCTCGAGGGGCTCTTGGTGGGTTCCGGGTGCCGAGGGCACCGGTGCTGCCCCTCCTGCCTTCCCTGCCCCTGCGGGGCTGCCTGGCCCCTCCGTTCCAGCTTCTGGCCGCTCCAGGAAGACGTTCCCAACTGGCTCTCTGTGGGAGAAGCCTTGACACTGGGGCAAAGTCGAGGGAAGCTGGCGGACTTTGCTGAAGGCAAAAGCTGGGACAACCGGGATGTTCTTAAAAGGAGTCCAGAGGCTGTGAGAACAGCAGTCCGGTTTGGGTCCAAGTGCAGGGACATCTGTTGTTTGGGTAGGCAGAGCACAAGCACCTCGGGGGTTCTGTGAGTCCTGCCTGCTTGTGCCCTCTTACCTGATGGTTCGTGTTTAGTAGCAGCACGTGGGGGAGAGGCCAGGCCGGGGCTTCCAGCAGCGCCTGTGGCTCCTGCTTGTCCGGTGGAGCTCGGGGGTGGGAGAGTGGCGCTTGCTTTTCTGTGCACAGAGCCCTGGGCTCTCTCACAGCTTTAAAGACTTGCTTGAAAAATGTGGTAATTTAAGTGTTGTTTGTCTAGGTCTACTGGAAGTACATAAGACAAATCTCTGTGTTTGAAAAGGTTCCAAATATCCAATCAGGATTCAAAAATGATCCAAATCTAGCATATATTGGTAAAGGAAGCACGAAGGCAACTTTCAATCCTGGTGTTGGTGATATCTGCTGGAAAACCTTTTAACACTAAGTTAACACTAACTCTGTAGAGTTAACTTGTATGATGCAGGTAATGCAGTTGCACTGCATAGTCCCAGTATGTGGAAGACTTACAGGATTTTTACCTTTAAAGTCTGTGAATGGCATCATGGTGGATGACACATTGACCATGAGGCTGCAAGGTGCCCTCGTTGCCAAGAAGGCCAACGGGATCGATTAAGAAGAACGAGGGAGGGGATCGTGCCCCTCTGCTTGGCCCTGGGGAGGCCACATCTGGAGACTGTGTCCAGTTCTGCCCAGGACAAGAGGGATGTGGAGCTGCTGGAGAGAGTCCAGCGCAGGGCTACGAGGATGATCAGGGGCCTGGAGCATCTGCCCTGTGAGCAAAGGCTGGGAGAGCTGGGTCTGTTCAGCCTGGAGAGGAGAAGGCTGAGGAGGGACCTGATCAGTGTCTATAGAGACCTCAAGGGAGGCAGTGAGGAGGAGGGGGCGACCTCTTTTCAGTGGTGGCCAGCGACAGGACTAGAGGAAACGGCCACAAACTGAGTCACCAAAAATTCCATAGAAACTTAAGAAAAAATTTCTAGACAGTGAGGGTGCCCGAGCCCTGGAACAGGCTGCCCAGGGAGGCTGTGGAGTCTCCTTCCCTGGAGATCTTCCAAACCTGCTTGGATGCAGCCCTGTGCTCTGGGTGACCCTGCGTGTGCAGGGGGTTGGGCTGGCTCATCTCTGGAGCTCCCTTCCAACCTTAATGTCTCTGTGATTCTATGAATGCACAGTACTGAATTGCAGCACTGAAGCTCCGCGTTGCCCCTCGCACTGAAGGCTGTGGTGAGATTCACCACAGCTGGGGGAGTTCTTATGGCCCAGGATACTGGGTCCAGCAGCTTGGTACCCAGGGGTTATCAATATCAGTGCACAGCTGGATGGGAGCGGCCTTCTCCTCTGCACAGTCATTTGAGATCATCTCTAATCTCAATTGTTGTCACTGAGTTTGAATGAGAGTTCAGAAGCGTGTCAGAATTTCAGTCGGCTGCTCTCTGGAATGGGGCATGGCAAGAGGTGAAGCTTGAAAACCACCTAGGTAGAGGTGGGGCTTCAGTGCTAAAAATAAGCTGGTAGAGAAGGTGGAGCTGCTGTGGAACTGTGGGCTTCAGTGGATAAAACCCAATCAGTGTCCATATAAGTGAAAAATAAATCCTCTTTAGGTCATAAAAGTACCCTGATTGGGCTTACAAGTATTCCTAGTGCTATGCGACTCCTTAGTAAGGAGCAAACAGTCTTGGTGAAATGCATAATTTAGTCAAGTGTGAGATAGAAATGTCTGGTGTAGCGGTGCCTGCAGGTCGTCTCCCTAGGCCTTGTGAGGCCACTAGCAAGCCCCGCAGTGGCACAGGCCTTTGGGTGCTTAATCCCAGGGTGCCGGTGAGCGTAATATTCCCAGGTAGGGGCTGTTGGTCCTGGGCGAGCCCATCACTGCTCGGTGCGTCGCTTGGGTTTGTAGAAACTACTGGTAAAAGTATGTTAAATGGCTTGAGAATGGAACGCACGAAGGTGGTGCTCTTCCAGGTGCCTCCACGCTGAGTGTTCATGTCTTCGGAAACCTTCGTGTGGAGCCAGGGAGCTTGGGCTGCCTTTGTGGTGCTCGGAAATCCTCTGCGCCTTGTGCTTTAGGAGAAACACTGACCTAAGCTCTTCTCTAGAGTCCATGTCCTACTAGCCAAGCCAAGTATGTGAGCCTAGCTAAATGTTATCTTAAAAGGCAAATTCCCAAAATAATCAAGTTGCAGGATATCGTTGGGGTAGGGAATATTGCCATTATAGCCGTGCTTAATCTCGTGGTCTATTAGTGAAGGGAAAACATTCTCAAGCTCAAGTTGTTCAAACAGGATTTCCTCATTTGGTAAATGTATAGGCTGATATCTTACCAGTTGACATCTGGGAATAAAATGGCAAGAAAGTGCATTCAACTCTATTGAATTAGTCTATTTTTAGTGCTCATTGCTGTGCTCACATAGAGCAGTGACTCTTTTTGGGAAAGAAATATTGCTCTGCTATTCAGTGTATACAGTTGTTAGCCCTGTGTTCTGTCAGGTGGCTTTTACGAGCATAAAATGCACCCCGTGTAGGGTACTGGTGGTTGCTGGTGCTGTGGACTGGTCCAGTTTGGATTTGGTGGCGTAGGCAGATACTTCCAAAAACTTCAGTGGAGAATAAAAGTGCTGGAGTTGATTTCTAGGAAAGAATGGGGGGAAAAACCTCATTTGAATCATGGGCCTTGCATTATAAATTTCCTGTAGGGATGAAACTCCTGTGGCTTGAAGAAGCAATTAATGCAGCCACACAACCCAAGTCTTTCCCATGCTGGGTAGTCTCTGTAGTTGAGTTGTTGCCTGAGGTCTCTTTCCTGATCACTCATGTTGTTAAAAAAGGCTCCACAAACTCAAACGTGGAAGTTGGGAATTCAGTTTAGTGCAGTGGAAGATTATGGTCCCTTTAAGATGGACTGGTCTAGGTTTTGGGGCCTTATTTTTGAAGTTGTTGGTGCAGTGCTTTCTTAACAGTCCAAAACATGAGATGTTTGTGTTAATTTTATATGAGAATTGAGCAAAAATGGAGAGTAGATGCTCAAGAAGTGCACTAAAATGTGCAACACCTTTGGAGAGGACCGAGTTACTGTGGCTTACTCGAAGTGAATAATACTGGATTCCCATCACCTTGTCCTACTTTGGGGGTCAAAATCTCCTCACGTGGTCGTGCGTCCTGCAGCCCTCTTGAGAGCAAGTGTCTCCAAAGGGGCTGTTTTGCCAGACCCGAGCTCCTGTACACAGGGAGGATGGAGCGTTTGGCCTCGCAGCCTCTTTATGTGCACCAGTGCAGGGGCTGGTTGAGCGGGTTTCAGGTTATAGTGCCCTGTTAGCTGAGCCGAGGCACAGAAAATGCAATGTACTTGGGGAAGCTGCTCCACTTGTTTTCTAATTAAAGTGCTGTATTTTTTAGTCGGATTGCTGTCTTGCCTGGATAATGCCAAGTGCAAGAGTAATCCAGTCCTTTCGGTGTTGAATGAGGAATCGGACAAAGAATCTTTATTTTTTTCCTTGTGATTGCCCGAATTACACTTTTGCTTCATGTTTATGAGGAAGAACTTCTTTGGTGTGAGGGTGCCAGAGCCCTGGCACAGGCTGTCTGGGGAGGCTGGGAAGTCTGCTTCCCTGGAGATAATCCAAAGCCACCTGGATGTGACCAGGTGCCCCTGCAGGAACAGGAGGCTGGACTGGATGATCTGTAGAGGTCCCTTCCAACCCCACCCATTCCATGATTATGTTTAGAATTAACTCAGTTGTACCTGACAGTAACGTGTGCCATATTTTCTAGCAGAGTAGCCTGAGACTTGACATCAATTAGTAAAATAGATTTTCTTGTGTTACCTAGTGCTGCTGTTTTACCCCGTCTCCATCGTCCAGGAGCTAAGAGGAGAACGTGCAGCTTGGCAGTGGTCAGCCCAGCTTAGAGGCTGCACAGAGAGCGCAAGGCCAAAGAATCACACAATGTTTGTGCACACTCATGACTGCCATCTCATAAATTATCTATTTTATTTCTGCTCTCTGCTAATTAAATCTTAGCAGTTTATGTTTCACCAGTGCAGCCTGGCTTCTTTTTCTGCATGAGGGTGGTTTAGGAGACCTGCCTCTCCCTGCGAACCCGTAAGATGTCCCCCCAAGCTCCTGCAGCGGTTGCAGAGCGTGTCCTCGCTGAAGCTGTTGTCAAGAGCACAGGGCAGAGTCCTCCGTGTCCTGTTGTTACAGAAAGTGCAGCCACATTGCTCCCTGGTAGAGGGACTAGGAACTGAAGTTGTGGCTTGGTTGTAAATGGGAAGGTTCCCAACCTTGCTGAAAGCAGAACCCACTTACCCATTTTAGCTGCATCAGTGAGATGGGAATGGCACTTGAGAGGATTTTGTGTGAAAGGAATAAAGGTTGAGGCTGCATTGAAGACACATAAACTTAGGTTGCCCTTAGCCACCATAAATAATATACTCTTTATTCTAGAACTTTATTCAA